ATGGGCTGAAAGTACTTTCCACCACTTTTCTTAGTTTGGTTCAACTTGAAAAAAGAAGAAAACAATTGATGTGTGAATAGATTCCCTCGTTTTCTAGTGTTTGTTTCAAACTAAAAAATCAAGAAAACTTGATTGTGGTCACCATGGTGTGATTACCACCCATACAAGCACACAACTGAAACCAAAGGCTGAAACCATGCACCATAACTCAGACCAAGACCAAGCACAATAACTCAGACCCATAAATGATTATCTTCGTGACAAAAAGTATCAACAGATTTTAAAAAAATGAAAATAAAAAACATAATAATTATTTTTGTTATAAACTTTTTAAAAAAAAATACCTGGCACTCACCACTTTTCTTAGTTTGGTTCAACTTGAAAAAAGAAGAAAACAATTGATGTGTGAATAGATTCCCTCGTTTTCTAGTGTTTGTTTCAAACTAAAAAATCAAGAAAACTTGATTGTGGTCACCATGGTGTGATTACCACCCATACAAGCACACAACTGAAACCAAAGGCTGAAACCATGCACCATAACTCAGACCAAGACCAAGCACAATAACTCAGACCCATAAATGATTATCTTCGTGACAAAAAGTATCAACAGATTTTAAAAAAATGAAAATAAAAAACATAATAATTATTTTTGTTATAAACTTTTTAAAAAAAAATACCTGGCACTTATTAATCCCGCAATATCAGGCAACCCGACACGCTGAGCATTTCCTTACATTATTTGAAGCAAAACATCCATCACACATTGAACCGCCAGAAGACCTGTTTGGACAAGATGCATAGGGCTCTTGACAGATAATAATTAACATCCCCTACAAGATGCATATTACACCAACAATAAATATTTTGAGGATGATTCAACAAATTGCATAGTATCACATCCATGCGTTATAATAAAGCCATATACTTCCAAATTATGTTGAAGGTTATGTCAATAAATTGACTCCCTATGTGCAGTATAGTCCTTAACAGTGAAATCTCAAAATAAAAAGCTTTTACACAATGAGATTAAAAATTGCCAAAGCTTCAAGAGACGATGAAGAAATATTTTTCAACAGACTTTACAGTTACATGCCAAAGGATTATCGGACAGGAATTGAACGCCATATAAAATCGAGGAATACGAACTCTAGCCTTGTTTTCTTACAGAACCAAGAACCAAGATTATCGATGTAACCTCCCATTTTTTTTGTACCCTAATGCAAGGTAGTCCTTCTTTGACTTCGCTCAGCAACAATCAGTCATAGTGTGCATGATTTTGGATTTAGGTCAGCAGACGTTTGCAGCCCAATTCGGTTGTAAACAGTGAATGGCTCTGAACCAAGACAGTTGCAAAGAGAATTGTTGAAACATGACAGCATTGACCTCCTTCATTATGTTGGACTTTTTGTTCATGAAAAGGCAATTTTGTCTTTGTGAATAGTCCCACATCGGAAAATGAGAAGAAGTTCAAGAAGTTTATAATGGTTCATATTTCAATAGGCTTTGAGTTAGTGTTTTGGGCCTAGTATTGTTTGGGCTGTTACTCCACGCGCACGCACGCCGCACTCGCACGAGTTTTTTGCCTCTCAAGTTTTATTTTTTGCACGTTTTACACAAGCTTGTAACGATCGTGGGAGTTATGGAAACGTATAACGGACGCGGGATATACGTGTAACGTATGCGGACTATCAGCATCGGTTATCAGTTCGAGAGGCTATATAAAGAGCTGAAGCTCATTCGGAGAAGACACAACAAGAAGAAGAATCCTCTAATCCTCTCTCATCCTCTAAAAATTTCTCTGATATTATAATTGTTACATTTTCGGGTAACCATCTTCATCTGAGTAGAAGCTCTGCTACTCGCGCCCACGTACAGAGGCCGGTCGTTTCCGGGGGCTTTTGCCACTAGGGGGAGAGAATCGACTGCGCCAGGGCGAAAGGCGGGTCCTCTATCTTTTAGGACAGTGAATCACGACTGCACCCGTTCAGGCCTAGTGTTCTAACTCTTTTATTTTTAGTTTTATAATAATTGTTTTAATTTTAACAGCAATCTAGAAGATAGATAATAATTTTGCTGTTAATTTAAATCTGCATTTTTAACCTATAGTTAACTGTTTTAATTTGTTAACTAATTTTGCATCTAAATTAGTAGTTAAAAAAAATTTTATTTTGCTGCTTCTGTACACAATTTATGTATCTGTTACTTTTCCTTTACATATATATACAGTAAAGAAACAAAAAATCTTTAAGTGAACCGGTTCAAGTTTTCTTGGATTAGTTTGTGTTTAAGGCAAGGTTTAAGGGTTGCGTAAAGCGCTCTACAAGAAACGAGGTACTTAATAGATCTTTGATCAACCTCCAGTACTATCCTTACCTGACCAAACTACCCGAGTAAAACTTTAATCTTTTTACTTTCAGAGTTTTTGGTTAAGAGCAGGTTTAATTGAGTTTCTGGTCTAGTAGTATTGACAAAATCCTTTACCCGTTCAGATTCCATCTACCTAGACTACTAAACTCGAATTGGACTTATGGCAATTCTTGATCATTCAAAAAGTGTCAAACCTGAGAAGTTCACCGGTGTCAACTATAAACGGTGGGCTAATCAGATGAGATACAGGCTCACTACCTTAGGTCTCTTGTCTGCTATTGACACTCTTGAGTCTTCTTCTAGTGGTTCTCAACCTTTGACTCCTGATCCTGAACAGCCTGCTCCTTCCACTTCTGGTTCTGGTGCTAGCTCCTTTTCTAGCTCTATGAAACCAGAAGAAATCAATTATCATTGTTGTCATAGGATTCTTAGTGCACTTGCGGACAACCTTTATGACATATATTATGAGTTCAAAAATGCAAAAGACCTATGGAATGCTCTTGAAGCAGAATATGGCTATGATGATGTCGGAATTCTGCGTTTCACCTCCTCCTCCTTCAATAAGTTCATGATGGTTGATGACAAACCCATTAATGAACAAATTCAAGAATTCTTAGATTTCCTTCGTCATCTCCAATCAAAAGGAAACACTTTTACTGATGATTATAAAGTTTCCTGTTTGATTGATAAACTCCATCCCTCCTGGTCTAGATTTGCTGGAGATCTCCGACACAAGCAAGAAGATCTAACCTTAACTGAAGCCCTCAAGGCTATTTGTATTGAAGACCAGCATAGGCAAAATTCCAAAACCAAGAATGAATCAAAAGCTAAAGTAAACTTGGTAGAGGATAAGCCTAAATCTAGAAATTTCAAACCCAAATGGAAGAAATTCAAGAAAAACCAACAATCTTTCAATAAATTCCTCCCAGCCATAAGTCTGATGGAAAGTTCTGCTTTGTCTGTGGTAGAACCAACCACATGGCTCCCAACTGTTTCTTTCGGAAGAAGGAACCGGCTAAACCTGCTCCTAAAGGAAATGGATCCAACAAAGTTAATATGATTGAAGAGAATCTAACAAAGTTAATATGATTGAAGAGAATCCAACAAAGTTAATATGATTGGGAAAGCTCTGCATCTGCAAGGCGCTTATCATGTTCTTTCTCTCCAATGCAATCTGATTAGTGAATCTCTTCTTCTTAGAGCTGGTTATAGGATTGTAAAAGAATCCAATAAATTTGTGATTACAAAGAGTAATGTTTTCATAGGAAAATGTTTTATCTGTAATGGCCTTTTCAAACTCAATGTAATCAATTCCAGTTCTAATGAAATTTCTGAGTCTTATGTTATACAAATTGTTGAATCTTGTGATGTCTGGCATGGACGACTTGGACATGTTAATTTTTAAACTTTACAGAAAATGATCAAATTGAATCTTATTCTTAAATCATCTTTTGACCTCTCTTCCAAGTGTGAGATTTGTGTTCAAGGGAAACACACTAAAAAAACCCTTCAAGTCTGTAACTAGAAACTCTGAACCCTTCGAATTAATTCATAGTGATGTATGTGACTCGAACCGAGTTCTCACCCGCGGGGGTAGAAGATATTTTGTGACCTTTATAGACGATCACTCCAGATATTGTTATACCTATCTTCTCAGAACTAAAGATGAAGTCTTAGATAGGTTTAAGGTGTATAAAGCTGAATCTGAGAACCAACTTGACAGGAAGATCAAGATTCTAAGATCTGATCATGGGGGGAGTATACCTCAAATCATATGACTGAATACTACCAAGAACATAGTACTATTCATGAGGTTACTGCTCCTTATACATCACAGTCTAACGGGGTAGTTGAACGAAAGAACATAACCCTAATGGACATGGTAAAGTGTATGTTACTCAATTCAGGAGCACCTAAAAATCTCTGGGATGAAGCTCTTCTCTCTGCTTGTTTTATTCTCAATAGGATTCCCCAGAAAAATTCTGATACAACTCCTTATAAATTTTGGAAGGGGAGATCTCCTAATCTGAACTTCTTCTGAGTTTGGGGTTGGTTGGCTAAGGTAGCTATTCCCGAACCTAAAAAGAGGAAAATTGGTTCCAAAACTATTGATGATGCTTTCATTGGATATGCACTAGATAGCAATGTTAATAGATTTCTAGTCATTAACTCTAAAATCAGTGACATATCCAACAACACTATCATTGAAGCTAGAGATGCAGTCTTTTTTGAAAATATCTTTACTTTCAAATCCAAAATCTCAAAAAATCCTAGTTCATCTCTTCCTTCTGATTTGCCATCTGCCAGCTCTTCTCAGCCTTTTGATATTGAACCTCGAAGAAGCAAAAGAGGTAGAATTCAAAAGGATTTTGGAGAAGACTTCTTTAGATTTCTTGTTGAAGGTAATCCAAACTCATTCAAAGAAGCAATGGATTCACCTGAATCTCCTTTCTGGAAAGAAGCCATTGATAATGAGATTAAACCTATCATGAAAAACCATACTTGGATACTCACCAACTTACCTCCAGGTTGTAAACCTATTGGTTGTAAGTGGATATTCAAGAAGAAACTTAGAGCTGATGGTTCCTTAGATAAATTTAAAGCTAGATTAGTAGCTAAATGCTATATTCAACAAAAGGGTATTGGTTATTTTGATACCTATTCTCCTGTAGCCCTTGATCTCAACTATCCGAGTATTATTAGCCTTTGTTGCTATCCATAAGCTGATCATACATCAGATGGATGTCAAGACTGCTTTCCTGAATGGTGATTTAGATGAAGAGATCTATATGCACCAACCTGAAGGCTTTATTGCCAATGGTCAGGAAAATAAAGTCTGCAAACTTGTTAAATCTCTGTATGGTCTTAAACAAGCTCCTAAACAATGGAACTAAAAATTTGATAGAGTTATTGCTTATTATGGTTTCACAGTGAATGAACACGACAAACGTGTTTATTCAAAAGTGATAAACAATGACTATGTCATCCTCTGTCTCTATGTTGATGATATTCTTATCTTTGGAACAACTCTTGAACTAATTTTAAAAGTCAAGAATTATCTTTCCAAGAATTTTGACATGAAAGACTTAGGTCTTGCTGATATGATACTTGGAATGAAAATCTCTAGAAATACCAGAGGAATATCTTTGAGTCTTTCTCATAGTATTGAGAAAATACTGATCAAATTCAACTATCATAACTCTAAACCTGTTTCCACATCCTATGATTCTTCTATATCCTTGAAGAAAAATGAAGGTGAACATGTATCCCAACTGAAGTATTCTTAGATGATTGGATCTCTTCTATACATATCAAACCAAACCAGACCCGATATAGCTTATGCTGTATGGAGACTGAGTCGGTATACTAGTAACCCTAACCTAGATCATTGGTCTGCCCTAGAGAGAGTATTCAAATACTTGAAAGGGGCAGTTACTATTGCTTGACTTACACTAGATACCCTGATGCTATTGAAGGGTATAGTGACGCCAATTGGGTCACAGATTCCAACAGTGCAAAGTCAACCTCTGGGTATGTATTTCTTTTTGGTGGTGCTGCTGTATCCTATAAATCATGTAAGCAAATAGTAATTACTAGGAGCACCATAGAATCCGAGCTGATTGCTCTTGATACCACTTGCACAGAAGCAGAATGGTTAAAAGATCTACTTTTTAAACTTCCTTTGGTTCCTAAACCCTTTCCTCCAATTTCTATTCATTCTGATTCTAGATCTACCATAGAGCTTCTAAAGCAAGTGCGTGTAAATAAAAAACTCAACAGACATATTCAAATAAGATATAAGTCTGTACAACGCCTGATAGGCAAAGTTGTGATCTTGGACTTTATAAAGTCTAAGAAAAATCTTGCTGACCCTTTGACTAAGGGATTATGCAGGAGTGTGGTTTTGGATTCATCGAGGGAGATGGGGTTAAGCCCATAAGAGAGGTCACTGACAGTGGTAACCCAACCCTTATTTGGAGACTTAGTCCCAATGTTGGTTCAATGTGGTAGAAACAAGCTGGACTAGTGACACTCGTGTGGAGCATCGACCCAGATATATTCATAAATCACTATGTAGCTTGTGCTACTACCCCTTCTCTATGATGACGATGATCTTATGATACAGCGAGCTAGGCTGAGTTTTACTCTTAATAAGTCCAACGTGTGTATTATGGGAGGTATTAAATAAACAGTTGTAGTACCCTTTGAGGACTTACCTACGTGAGAGGAACCATGATGGCCGCGGTTGGGGTGGGGGGGGGGGAGGGGGGGGGGGGGGGGGGGGGGCTAGGCTAACCCTAGAAACTCTCATGAGTCGGTTTATTATGAGCATGACCTTTAACGATAAACCTGCTTTGCTCAATAGATGAAGACGTATTGTGTGTGTGTTTTGTCAATACCTAATTCAAGGGGCCTAATTCAAGGCCTAGTCCATTATGGCACTCATGTGACGATAAACTCACTAAGGAAAAGTTCAAAGCCGAAATCTACCACTCCCGAATTCACGATACGAAAGGTTGTCCAACCTATATCTTTTATGGTTTACCAATTTACTTATTATTTTGTTTCAGTCAATATTGCCTTTTGGGGGGGACTGTTGGACTTTTGGTTCATGAAAAGGTAATTTTGCCTTTGTGAATAGTCCCACATCGGAAAATGAGAAGAAGTTCAAGAAGTTTATAATGGTTCACATCTCAATGGGCTTTGAGTTAGTGTTTTGGGCCTAGTATTGTTTGGGCTGTTGCTCCACACGCGCGCGTACGCACGCACGCCATGCCTCGCCATGACACGACGCGCGCGCCACGCCACACCGCACCGCACTCGTACGAGTTTTTTGCCTCTCAAGTTTTATTTTTTGCACGTTTTACACAAGCTTATAACGGTCGCGGGATTTATGGAAACGTATAACGGACGCCGGATATACGTGTAACGTATGCGGACTATCAGCATCGGTTATCAGTTCGAGAGGCTATATAAAGAGCTGAAGCTCATTCGGAGAAGACACAACAAGAAGAAGAATCCTCTAATCCTCTCTCATCCTCTAAAAATTTCTCTGATATTATAATTGTTACATTTTTGGCAGTCTTCATCTGAGCAGAAGCTCTACTACTCGTGCCCGAGTACAGAGGCCAGCCGTTTCCGGGGGCTTTACCGCTAGGGGGAGAGGATCGACTGCGCCAGGGTGCAAAGCGGGTCCTCTATCTTCTAGGTTAGTGAATCATGACTACACCCATTCAGGCCTGGTGTTCTAACTCTTTTATTTTTAGTTTTATAATAATTGTTTTAATTTTAACAGTACTTCAAGTGGTTCAATGTGTCAGATGAACCAGCTTCCTACATCAACAAATAACTTTAGAGCAGCTTTTACCTTCCCATTCTTCATTATTTAATCAATGCAGCTAATAACTTAAGATTAGAGTAGCTTTTACCTTCTCATTCTGCATTATTGATCACAGTAGTATGTAACTTTAGATTAGAGTAGCTATTACCTTCTCATTCTTCATTATTTGATCACAGTGGCTGAAACCAACTTCATAACCAACCTAAGAGCTGAAACCATCCATCTAAAATATTAACTCCTGCCTCTTCGTCGAGATCACCATCCATCTAAAATACAAGCGTCATATTAAAGCAGATACCAACATCAAAGTCTTTTTAGAAAATTATCATAATCATTTATGTAATGATTGGTTGATTATTTTGTTCAGTTCATATTTGCAATATGATAAGACAGTATTATTAGACTTGGGATTCAAAATGTCTTTGAAAAGTAATGCAGACGAAGTCATGTCACATTGTTCAATATCATGAATTCAAACATGTTCTATGACCAACAATCAAACATACACAACAAACCCAAACCCCAAGATACACATCCGTTCTATGAGGAATTTTATCAAACAATGAGCATGTTAATCATTATTTAAGTATTCATATATACACAACAAACCCAAACCCCAAGATACACATCCGTTCTAACTGGAATTTTATCAAACAATGAGCATGTTAATCATTCTTTAAGTATTTAGACATACACGACAAACCCAAACCGCAATATACAAATCAGTTCCTATTTGCAGTCTCTTTATCAATGTCATAATCATGACTAAAATTATAATAGCAAAAATTAGAAACTCAAACATCACAAACAAGAGACATAAAACTGACAGTGAGGTGAGATTTCGGAGCCTATTGTGGCAGAAATCGATGCGGATGAGATTTGGGAGCTTGGTTAGGCTCGGGTTCAGGGCCCAGTGAGGTTGTTGTCAGAGAGGGAGAGAGTTTAGAGGGACTGGAGGTTGAGGAGGCTGCAGCCGAGCTCACCAGAGCTAGGTTAGGCTCGCCTGAACCCGAGCCCAGTTCTCTTCTTCCTCTAATGGCCTAACTCTCTCAGCTCTCCTCCAAGCAAAACCTATATCCCCTTTCTCTCTCTAAATCATGAACTCCTCTCTCATTTCCCTCCTCCCCTCTCCTTTGTCTCTCTCAGCCCCTCAACCCCGACCAGCTCCCAAATCTCACTCGCATCGACTTCATCTAAAATAAAGCAAACTCTAACTCAATCAAACTAAATCGCATGAGAGATCGAACCTGAGGAAGGAGGCGGCCAAGGAGGAGACTAGAGATTAGCGGGTTCCTCTTTGGCTTGTGAGAAGGAGAAGGATGTGGGAGAAGGAGGAATAGGAAGCAGCGGGAGGAGAACGAGATAGAGAACGGTGACAGAATCTTGGGGGTAGGAAGCCAGAAAGCTAGGGTTTTCCCTCTTTTCTGATCGGGTATCAGTTTTGGGGGTTTTTCCTCTAAAATCAGCCTTATGGGGGCGGAAAACTTCCTAGCTCCAAATCCGAGCTGGCACCCATTTTCTCCCCCCCTATGTTTCTTTAATAGCTTTAACGAACCAAACAACTGAAAGTGGAGGAAAACATCAAATTTCTACTACGTCAGTTTTATTTCCCCCACTTTCTGCACTTTTTTCACCAACCAAACAGGTCCTTAGACGAAAATATTGACAAATTAAAAAGGGGTGGGCCCCATAAACTGAAATAGATGTTTGCCTAAATTTAGGCACCATCCCAGAGCAAAATTTTAGATAGAGTTTGAAAAAAATAAAGTGGCGGGCCCCACCATAAGAAAATATAATATAAAATTAGTGCATAGTGTTTTTCTAGCCACTATAAATAAGCACAAAACTCTTCAGAAAAAATATCCCAGAAGCAACTCCTCATATAGAAGAGTAAGAGAGAAAACATAGATAGAGTTTGTGAGAATTCTTGGAGAGTATCTTAATCAAGAGAGGGTTTTCTTTTTGATCTTTTCTTTGTAACCTCGGAATGGAATATAAAGGAATTAGGCGTCGTCGTTGCACCATGGAGTAGCTTCGTAAGAGTGAACCACGTTATATCTGTGAGTACTATGATTGAATTTGTGTCTGTTGATTTTATTCTTTGATTCCACGTTCGTTTGGGTGTGTATTACGTCTTTGTTCGAGGCGTTCTTGTTGGTGTGTATTCTAACAATTAGTCCTTCAAATCAAGTGAAGAATTAGAAATTAGATGAATCTATTTGAAATAATTTCATAAAAACTTTGATGCACAACAATTTAATGGAGCAGACACGTGCCTCCCTTACTAGTAATCATACTCCCTTTAAAAGAGGGAGTTGTGGAAAAACTTTCTAAATACTATATTACCCCTATTCTCTTTTGATATTATATCCTAATGCTAACTAAACTAAATTAATTATCATTGTTAATTATTTATATTATATGTCACTTTAGGTTTGCATAATTTGGTCCCTAGAACTTCCAACATTATTATAAAACTCTACATTATATTAATTATTAGTAATAAATAATAATATATTAATAGATAATTGCATGTCAATAAAGTATTTATGAAAAGAGTACAAAACATAGAATTGTCCTAAATTATACCATGAAACTCATATAGGAAAATTACGAAGAACATTCTTATGTTTAGGTAACAAGACAGAAGGTACAAACATTAAATTTTAGAAAACATTAGGATATTTAAGCGCATCAAGATTCATTATCTAAAATTTAAAAAAAAGCATAGCAAGATACAAAATCGAGGTATATAAGTATAATTTTGATAAACTACAAGGTATTTAAGTTCGGTTAAGCCTACAAAAGATTTGAAACATTTATTATCCACAAACAATTATATATGATCCCATTGATAAATAATATTTATTATACAATATGAGGTCAGATGCTTAGCTTATATTTATAAAGTAGAGGAGATTGGAAAAATTAAAGCATCATATTTTGAATGAGTCTCAAGATTTTGAATTATTTCCTAAAATTATATATTTTGCTTAGAAAACTTTAGAATAAGCTTTTGAAGGATTACTACAAAGTTTTGGACATCAAATAAATATTGAAAAAAATAAAATCCATAATATCGAGTTGCAAAAATTAGGGATATGTATGTAATATTGGGCGTCATATGAGATAGTATTCATACATAACATGACATTGTAATATGTAATCTAACATGTTAATGAATTTTAAACATAATAATTTGCATCAAGATATATGCTTAAGATTTAGGAGAGTCTAGTGGAGAGATTTGGGAGAATAATTGTGGCCTTTGTGGGTTTAGCGGGTTCCGATTTTGTTTTCTAAACATGATCCAAACCCCAACCCACAATCAAATTAAAAATAACTTGATTTTCTCGATATCTTTAAAGGGATATATCGGCCATATTTCAATAACGGTTAATATATCAAAAAGATCAACAGGCAGAGAAAATAATATAAAATATTACTGAGATAAAGTCATTAACCCGATATATTAGCCGATATAGCAATATATTGATCGATATTTAATAGAATGCCCATAAGAGAAAATATGTAAATATTATTTAGATATTAGTTCCTTGATTTTAAATATCCAATGATTCTATGTTATTCCCACAAAATTTTGAAATTGCTCATAATTTTATGGACTAATATTAAATTATTAAAATTTTGAGGGACAAATTATAAACAAGCCATATTTAAAAGAAGTGTTAGTTTTTTAAAACCCCTCTTAACTATGGGGATTGTCTTAAAAAATCCATTCAACTAATTCAATTTGACAAAACCCCCTCATTATGTAGGGTGTTATAGATAACCCTCTCAACTTTGGTGTAATTTTAGAAAACTCCTCTCAACTATAGAATATCTCATAAAAACTCCCCTAATCATTTACACTTCTATCAACAAACCCCATTAACGTAGTTACTTTGATATGTGGTTTGAACAAAATACCCTCTTAAAGAAAGCAATTTTAATTAAAAAAACCTCAACCGATAATAAAAGGATCACAACCAATTTACAATTCTTTTTCCCTCTATATCACCTCTTTTATCTGGCAAAAGTCAATGTAATTCTTTTATGATTGATTGATATATATTTTGGTCTTTTCAAGTCAAGTACTTATCACATAATAGATAAGACTCAATGATGTTAGTTTTGAAATGTTAGGTCTAGTGAGAAAAGTTCACTGGGGTTAAATCAAATTTTTTTAAGTTGAGATAGATTTATCTACAAAGCACCCAAAACTTGGTGGAGATTGATTCAGT